TTTTGATTACGGTCAAAATGAACATGTTTGTTTTGTATTTGGCACCTTTAATTCCAGGGATAAATAGAAAGGGCTAGTTCATTCCTTTGTTCGACTCCTAGCTGACGGGAATCTAATGGGGAGACTTAATCAGCAGTAATCTGACGTCACTGTGATGCATCTGTTCTAATTTCCCACATTAAAACTAGTTTCATTCAGCTGTGAGACTATTTTCTAGAGGTTACAATATCCCAAATTAATTTTAATCACATATTTGTTTTCTAATAATGTAAATATTTAAAATAATTTTATATATATATATATATATATATAAAATTTTAGTCGGTTTTTATTTGAAATTCTATATTGTAAAGTATCGTTTATGTAATATGGCTTTTTGCACTGTAGTAACATGCCACAGCACTTGCAGAAGTACGAAAGGATGAGATACTTTATTTCATGGCACCAAAGAACCCAAATGAGATCTTGCTTTTGATGAAAGAATGGATACAAAAATGTCAAAGATAAGATTCTATTAATGTAAAGAGTGGAAAAAACTGCACCAAACATTTCCAATGCAATGTTTATGAAGATAATGAAAAATCGCTTATTTGGATAGCCACAAAAAGAAACTGTTGAAATGGAATGCTGCATTGAAAGTAAATTATGATGACAATAATAAATCAAATGTTATTGATTTTGAAATAAAACTCACAAATGAAAATGTAGATATTCTTGAATGCCCTAAGTTTAAGGATAAACAAGAATGCATTGATAATTTGAAGAACAAAATAATATCTTTAAAAAATTTTATTAAAGTATTGAAAAATAGAGAAAAGAAAAAATTTAGAATGTTTGTTCAACGGCAAAGACGGTGGATGACATCTAGAAAGAAATCGATATTAGAAATTAAAATCGCAAATAGCAAAATTTTGGGGGAGGGGAAGCACAGATTGGAAAATTTGGAAAAACGTCTAAAGCCTATTTTTATAAAGACACAGATTAATGCATTGCTGAAAAAGAAGGAAAACAGGTGGACTAGTGAAGATATTTCACATTGCATTGTCATGAGAGCTCTGTCATCTTAAAGCTATGATTTTTGGAAAGAAAAAAAATTGGAATTCCCTTTACCTAGTATTAGCAAATTAAAAAAATGGTGCACTAAATTTCAGTGTTGTCCAAGAATTCAAAGTGACGTTCTTACTCTAAAGAAGGAAAGAAGCGAATATTTGAATTCTGTAAAAAAAAATTGCGTTCTCAATTTTGACGAAATGCATATACCGTAATTTCCGGAAGAAACGCTGCGGCGTTTACGTGTTTAAAACTTAAATTTTCAGCGGGTGCGGCGTTTCTACCCATGCGGCGTTTAGGTGCGCTAAAAATAAAATATTTCTATGATGGTCATTGTACATAGTTTGGATGGCCTTGTCATTGTGCATACACTGGTGCTGTTCCCACACAAAAGACCACTCAGTTGCTTTTTGCAAACGTTATTTTGTTTACATTCGTTTCCTCTTGAACGGCACCTACATGCCATTATTCACCTTAAACGAGGATCTCAGAAAAATAACATTCTTCCCCCTTTCAAATCAGCATTCTCATCAAATTCGAATAGTCTCTCTCCTCTTGCCATTCGGATGAATCTTCCAGGATCCATCCTCTCCCCACCTTTTCCTATTGTAAATCTCCTGCAATTTTTTTCAAAGGCAGGACACGACTCCACCTGCCTCGCAATAACGAACTCTGACGTATTTCCCCTTCAGCATGAATGGATTTTTCTTGGAATTCTGCCAGATACAGATCCCAACAGTTTGGGTACAGGTACTTGTTGGATAGTTTCTAAGACTAGCGTCTACATCCCTAAACGGCAGCCTACGAGAGAGACGATTCTATTATTTTCATCGGGGAGTTAGAATGGTTTTCTGAGAAATGCAACGGCAGTGGACTAGATGTTAGATTTAAGATGAAGAGAATATATTTAACACAACAGAACGCAAGCATAAGACTTATAAATCTTTTAAAAAACAATACATCGATAATTAAAAATATTATTTATAGTTCATTATTAAAAACTTAACTGGTATGTCATATATCAGGACTTAGGTTGAGTTTTTTCATCTATACGGCCCACGACGATGTCAAGCACAATTTTATCTATTGCGGCGTTTCTGTGTAATTTTAATTTTTTTCCCGCCAATTTTCTCGAGTGCAGCCTTTCTTCCGGAAATTACGCTAAATTGAGAAATCTGCTAGGACTCTAAACTGGACCAAGTTCTTGGTTCTTTCCAAAATGTGCAGTTTGTTTTAATCAGAGGTCTCATTTCGCACTATGCCTCAAATTACTGAGAAACCACATTTTAGATAAAGGATTTGTTTAGAAGATTGAACTGTTTTAAATTTTGATATTAAAGAGATTTTGAATAGAGATTCGGAAGAAATCAAATTGTATCACAAACTGAAACCGAATTATTTAATGGTCAAGGGAAACGAGAAACAAAAAGTTGCTCCAGCGAAAACATTATTTTCAAGAACTACCGCAAAAGGTATACTCCACCTCACAGGAAATCAAAAAACATCTGACTTCTACGAGTTAATCGATCATATCTTCGGTATTACAAATATTATCAACAAGAATAACAAGTACAAACTAATTTTGATAAGTACTTGTTAAAGTTATTGTGACTAATTATTGATTCGATTTTGTGCTAGATTAGCATTCTAGATAAAAATATAATAGTATAAAACATCAAAGTAATTGGCATAAAAAGACCTGCCTCCTTTACTCAAACTTTTGGAAAATTTAATAACTGTTTTAGGTACTGTGAGTAAAGCTATTTTGTCAAAATTAAGGTAACAATCTTGCATACATTTATTTAATTGCAATGTAGATGTGAGTATGAATTACAAAATTATTAAAAAAATATCTATTATTATGTGAATCAGAAGAGAAATATGCTAATGTAAAATTTACAATTAGGCAAAAAAGCAAACGCAGATTAGCAGAAATTTTGCCATATATGTTTATGACAATGCATAGTTGTTTGCAGTTATAGTTATCTTAGATATAGATAATAGATAGTTGCAATTATAGTTATTTTAGATCAAACTAAGCTAAACAAATATAAATAAAGAAGCAGTATAAAGATTCTCTCAGTTAGCATGCAGATAAAGAAATGATCACAAATAAACGTGCATTAAATAAAAAAACCTGCAAATAATAATAAAATCATGGAACTTTATGTTAAAAAGAGTAGCGCATTTTATCTATTGTTTTAAAATTGAGTAAGTATTAAATTTTTGAATGGTTCAGTGTAAAATGCATACAGCAGTAACATTGTCTCTTCTAAATTATAATTATCTTTCACAGACAGCTCATTTTAAACACTGGTTCAAAAACACTAATTTCTCAGCTGTGAATTGCATCTCCACGCTCAATGTCATCATGACTACGTCATCACTTCTCACTTTCTGCTTCAGGGTAAAAGCTTTATGAGCTAGCCCTTCTCTTCTAAGTCCTGCTTTAATTCAATGTTTATACTACTAGAGCAGTTGTCAGTATTACCATCACTGGTACTGTTATCTTGCAACCTGTAACCACAACTAAACTACTGTGTATACAATGACTTCATTCAGCCTTTATTTTTGTAACCATTGATTTTAGATATATACTTCTAATTATAAAAATCTTTAAGATGTAAATATTTCAAAATTTTTAAGATTTATATGCCTCTTCAGTCTTTATACTTATCTTAGAAAAATTTTATACTTATTGTAAATACAAAATATACAATTAATTGAAAGAAATATTTCATTTTAGAGTTTTAAATTGTATTCAGGGCCATATACAAAATGGAGAATGTTTGAAAATTTTTTCGGCTTAACTAACGGAATTATACTAGTAAACCACTCAAGAATATAAAATGAATAAATTTGAGAAAAAATAAGCTTTGACTTTTTCTTGTTTATAATAAACACCTAAAAACAAGTTGGAAATGTCAAATATCCAAAATTTTGAAATTAAATATCTCAGCCAGTTTTCTTGAATGGGAACTTTACTTTTTCAAATGAGTGTAAAATTTTCCTAAATATAATTAAAGGAAAAGTTACATTTGTAATTTTTATAAAGTGCTGTTTGTACATTTTAAAATGCCAAAACATAAATCTTTCATTTATAACACTTTTGCAACTGGAAGTATATGTTAACGACAACTGGTTATAAATAAATATAAAGCTAAATAAAGATTTGTGAACGAGTGTAATCCTTGTGTTTCCTGCACCACTTTAAACAGTATCCCAATGGACAGGTATTATAAAAGAATAGTACATTTTTGTGATACAATATCTGGCATGTACTGCTTTTGTCTAAGTACTTTCTGCTAATAGAAGATATTCATTATTTCTGTAAACTACCACCAGTGACCAAGTAGATAAGTCCATAAGAACAGTGGTATTCAATCAAGATTCAAATTTGGAAAATGAGTTGCCTGCTTTGGTGATTTTCAGTTGAAACACCAAAGTAGGCAAATGTATTGAATGTATTCAAATATAATGAATTTTATACATTGCTATATTTAGTAAAAGCAAATCATTAGTCCTTGAAATAGCCACATCCAAGGTTAGTTATCTGTAATTTTAATATGGCTGGAGCAGTATGAATTTACTGACCATACACCTAAGACCCTTCTTCCAGTCTTCAAAAAATGATTACTTGTTAGCAGTCATTTTAGTTATATGAAATACAAAATGGAAATTCACTACATGTGTAACAATCACGTCTATAGTTAGGACATTTTGGAAGAATTTCTGAACTTCTTTTCTACTATGGCATTATATGAAATGATTTTAAAATATGAATATTCACCAGCTTTCTGCCGAGCTAATCACCATAGGTTCCTTTATGTATTTTTAATCTGTTTTTTATGCCAGAGTATTTGTGCAAAATTCTTTGAACTGAATATCAATTTATTTCCTAAATATTATTTGCATAACTTGAGTCTTTTTCGAAGTAATGTTATTAATTATTACAAAATGCAATATTTTTATTAGATCAAACTGAGCTAAACAAATATAAATTTCTATCATAAATGAATGAAATACAGAATAGTCAAGTACACAATATTTGGTTTACAGGATCAATGGTTATATACTATGTGATATGTAAAGTTTCTTTAGCATCTGCATTTTTTATTACAACTTATAGCAATGCATCTGTACTGTGCTGTGTCAGCAGTAATGTGAGGAAATGTATTGAATTTTGTAGATAATTACCTGTGATTTAGATGGCTATATTATAAAGAAAATTTGGAGAATAATTTACTTATTAAAAAAAGTATGTATATAAAAGAACTGAATGCAAAGTTTAAAAGTAATGATGATGGCAAAACTATAATTACATTTTTAATGCAAACAATTAGAATTACTTACTAGCTTTTACCTTTATTGATGTTCTCTAGATTATTTCTGAAACACTGTATGTTTTAATTATCTTGTAGCGAAGAAAACCAAAAACATTTCTTGTGTATTCATTTCGAAACATAACACAGATTGCATTCTAATTGAAAAATGCACAAGACCAAACGTTTAATTAAAGTTGATTAATTAAAAGAAAACCTGGTTTATAAATTTTATTAAATATGTTTTATTATAACTCTTCAAAAATGACTGATTTTCTAATTAAGAAAAAAAGTGAACATTTTATCTGTTAAAAATCTTTTAGCTTTATTCTCTACTTTCAAACTAATTAATACAGAAATTAATAATTAATATACCTTAATTGACTTTTTAACTTAAAGTATATTGAAAATTGTTTCTGAAAACATCAAGTTACAAAATAATTTTCACTTATCTACTAATAAAACCAATCAATATAATTAAACTTTTTAATACAGATAATTTTCATTTAATGAAGTGATTTAGAAGCTGAACTATGAAGTAAGTTACAACTTATTTATGTAATGGATAGTTAGAAATATCTTTGCTACAGATCACTAATTGTAATCAAAATATATAAACAAAGCAAATAATTATTTACATAAATTTGTATAGTCAATTTTTAGTATCTGTTACAAAGAAAGCAAGATGATACGTGTAAATATTATTTAAAATCCCTACTTTCTAACTTCAGATAACAGGAAAATGAATACTTTAGAAGGGGAGAATTATTAAAGAAAACTGTCATTTCATATGCTTTTCTGAAGGTGAAAAAAGTAGCATTGTGATATCTGATAATAAATAATACTGAATCTTTGAGGGTCAGTTTGAAAACCTAGCAAGTATTGGACCACACTGAATCTTTGATATAAGCTCAGTCTTTAAACTGGATTGAAGTGAATAATAGATTAAACAGGGCTATTATGAAGAAGCATACAAGAGCTTAGCTGCAGCCAACATTAATTAACAGCATTCCAATAGATTAGAGCGTAAAGTTCTGTAACTCCTTTTCTACCAGCAAGTTCTTTTGGATTGACAGATTTCGAGAATGCATATTAAGAAATTACAATTGCAAATTTCATTGCAGTTGTGTCATTCATTGCATTTGGACTATTAAATATACCATCCAGTTAAACATAAAAAAGGTATTTATTTGAATTCAAACCCTTTCTGTTTAAAAAAAAAAATGCGTAATTCACATAATCAAAAGCAATGAATTATGCATAGCATACATATACAAGTCCCTAAATAATCTTCATTTTCACAAATGTTGGTTATAGGCATGTAATTCCCATGTGCAAATTTGCTTTAAAGGACATTGACGACTAATATCATATCAAAAGTTAGAAATGGCCTTTTTCTTGGTGTGGGGTAGTCCCAGATATTGAAGTCTTTGGCAAAAGCAACATATGCAGATTATCTAAACCCTTTTACAAATGGCATGGCAGTAATGATTTGTGCTAGAAGGTAATGCAATCCTTTATTTTGGCAAGGAAACTATATAAATGTCATGTTGCACATTATTGAGTTCCAGGTATTCTGTTGCCTGCAAAACTCAGATTTTACCTGTCAGTAATGACCTCACTAACTGATTTGCAGTAACAACTAATGAAAAAAGCTAATTTATGTCTAGCATAAAATGGACCTGGTTTAATAAGAGTAGAACTTCACAGACTTGATTCAGTTTTTGGCAGCCATAATTTTTTTTTGAGTGCATGCAGAAGGTATGTATTAATAGTAAAACTTCATTGTACATATTACAATGCAGGGGACAATATATCCCTCAGAATAAATGTAAAAAAAAAAAAAAAAAAAAAAAAAAAAAAAAAAAAAAAAAACCACCACAAAAATTTGTGTTAGAAACAAAAAGGGATCAAAGGGGGGGGGGCCCAGGAAGTTGCTGACAAAATCAGACTCAGGATAGATCTGTTTTATAATAAACAATATTTGCATTTATGTGCTACAAAATACAACTTCACAACTCTTTCACATGAGATATAAATTATAATTATATAAACACTGTAAATAAATTTCATAAGGAAAACAGAACATTTTAAATATTAAAAAATTAGATTGTGATATTAAATCATTAATTAATTAAAAGTTAGACTGTGATATAAAATTTTCCACATCAAAAAATTAGACTGTGATTTTAAATCACATCTAATTTTTAATATGTAATCAGTTCAACTATACATACATTATAATATATAATAGAACCATTTCCAAATTTTATCTAAATACAAGATATTAAGATGTGTCATAACTTTTCATTCGGTTTCAGGAAACAAAATATATAAATTCCAAAAATACACGTAACACAATTTTAATTTTATAATATTTTAAATATAATAAAAAAAGTATGCTAACATTTTATAATACATTATTTTGATAAATTTGTTTTATTCATTAAAAACTCTTCGCATAAAACGACTTCTTTTAAAAAATAGTTTGGTCCTGACTTATGCAAGATATAAGACTTCCTATTAAGACTACATATATCCAAAACAATCCTTTTATCACAGAGAATATACAACCCCTAAAAGTATACAACACAAAGTATCTGCCCAAATAAATTAAATTTCAACAATCAATACAAAATATGAGACCACTTCAAAGAGAACTGTATTTTGTCCAACTAAAATGACTAATCAAAGATAAGAAAATCAGCCAAATATAAATGGTATTTACACTTCCTCCATCAAAATGTTTGTTAATGTAATATTCTGCAATTTTTCTATTTGGGTTAACACTGGAACCATTGAACCATATACGCATACACGGCTGATCATCTGGTGTATAGACCCAGGAATCATCCCAAACCTGAAACACAAGCACACAATGTATCATTTCTTCATGATATGTGTACCTTTTGTTACATATGTTTTAGTTAGTATTTATATGTGATCTTGCTATAAGCAATAAATGAGAGATTCTAAGATTTCATAAACATTAGAAAAATTTTAAAATGACAAAATCTTAAAAATACTCGTATAAATAATAGTTAATAAACATACATCAGATTTCCTAGAGTTGTAAAAAAAAACTTTTTGTATATGTAATAGAGTGAAAAAATGTACAATTCAAATCACAATTTATATTATTTGTCACTTTAAAAAAATTATGTGTTGAATGTGAAAAATTATTAAAAATTCTCTTATTTACTTACATTCTCGCAGAAATCTTTAGCAGTTTCATAAACCTGTTTAAAAGTGTTACACTTGGCTTTCTCTTTGCATGTATTATGACCTTAAAATAGAATAAATTTATTTGCACATATGAACTACCTAATTACGGAATCAACATCTAATAATACAAGATTATAAATAAATAACTTAGATGGTGCTCATCATAGTGCTAAAACATAAATGTCACACATTTGAAATTCTTATTTTTATTTATGTGTTATGAAATTTGTCACTAAGTGAGTATATTCCCAATATTATGTTAAAAATTAAGAAAATTTTTCATCAAACTAATTGAGGTTAGTTTTATAATATAAAATGGTACAAAAATCCAATGGTCAAAAGATAACAAGACCCCTAAAAAAATTGTTTTACGTCAAAAAAGTTTTCCCACAACCAAAGCAGTGAAAAAAAATTAATTTCTTATGTGGTCAAAACTGCCCAAGATTCTTAAACAATTTTTGCAGGTATTACTGATAGGCACATATATTAAGATTTCAAAAGTGAATTTTTAAAAGGCACCTCTTAACAGGATACAAATATTTCTACAGAAACACACATTTCAAATTCCCTTCTACAGAAATACAAAATCTGAAATATTGCACAATACTTAAAACTGAAAGTTTCACTTTTGAGTGACACAATGCTGACACTTTTTCAAGAGTTAATACATTTATATATTACGGATTAGCCTTTATTCTTTTTGAAAGGTTACATTCTTTGGCAGAATGTGGAACAACTTACAATGCTGAAAAACTTAGATCACCTTGTCATCAGAAACAGCAGTTTGTACATAAATTTTACGAGCAGTTAGACAAACGTTTTTTCTTTTTTTAAAATAAAACTATGAAACATATTTTCAATTTCTCTATTTTAATAAATAAAAATTATGCAACATTACATGCTAGAATTATGCAATGTTAGCAGAAGAAACCATAAACATCCATTTCAATCAAGCCCACTCCATATCAGTAATAAGAAAATCCACTTTGATTTGAAAAAATCCAGAACTTTCTGGATGACCCAATACACTCGCTATATAATGATTTACTTAGTAGTGGATAACTTGTTAGATGAGAGCTTGATTAGGGTAGGCACCAATTCTTTTCATCATGGCTGCAAAAAACCGCTGCATAGGCGATTAGAAATAACAGCATGGTGGATGACTGGATGGAACTTGGGAAGAAGCACGAACAGCTTGGTAGTTAAATGTCATTTATTTTTTAATGATGAATGTCTTAGCACGTACCTTCTTAATTAGTACATAATTAGCACCCTATAATTTTATAACTGCAATTACATTTTAAATAACGGAGAATAGCTAGCAGAGATTAAGCAACACCTTGCCAGCAAGAAGGCAAAGTATAAAATAGATTATGCACAAAGCAGCTGAATTATTTACAGATCAGAAATCCTTTGTTTGAGTTTTGCAGTAATAGTTCTCACAATGCAGAGAAATGATGATGCAAAATGGTGCAATACGCATTCTTGGAGAGGGGATGCACTTCAATAAAAAAAAGAATTTAAAGATCTGCATGTGAATTTGTCTTTCCTATTTTGTATTTTATGTAGATACATTAAATACAAAATTATATAAATATACAAACTTCTGTTAAATACTAAAATACGTTTTACAAAATGCAATAGAAATAGTTGATAACAGTACAAAACGCATCATCACTTGCACATACATACACATAGACAGATGTCTTGTTTTGCACCCGAAGAACAAAAGCAAAAATGAAGAAGTCAAGGCCAAATCGTAAGAACAGTCAGATTGAATAATTCTTGCTCTCCTCGGGTGGGGGGATGGACAAAAATAATTGTTTTCTATTCCAATTAAATGGTAACCAGAGCAACATTTCTGATACTATGCAATTTTTAAACATCGAAAGCAAGTTATACAAAATAGCACAGAAACCTCCCTTATGCACTATCCGATTTATCAGATAGAGCAGGGTTTCTTAAACTCTCTTCAGTTGCTACCCCATTTTATCACTGAGATTCTTTCGTGACCCCATAAGTATTGCACAAAACCGACACACGTGTGAGTGAAACTGTCAATTTTTTTACTTCTTTTGGGTCATTAACTTTTTTAAGACATAGAACAATGTGAAAATTTTAAATAAGTAACAGACGAAATAACAGCATCACGTGTAAAGCAAGGAAAAAGAACGTTTATATTATAAAAAGAATGTGTCGAAATGTTTTCGTTTTTTTCTTTGTCTGTATTGTCTTATCTTTATCTATTTTCAGATACAATGTGTAAAATTATTTGGTAATTGTAAAATTATTATAATAAGTTAAAAAAAAATTAAAACTGCCAAAATTTTTGGCAACCCCCTTACAGTTTAAGAAACCCTGAGATACAGAATAGAGGATGCATTTTATTTTCAAGATTAATTTCTTTTCCTACACACACACATTCACCTCTTTATATACAAGATGATATTAGATTGGCTGCATAAATTTTAGTTGGTGATGCTCATTGTTAGAGAATGTTGTTAACATATATGCAAAAGGCAGAAAGTATAAACAATGCTTTTTCTATTATGTTCAAAATAGTAATCATAAATAGTAATGTCAGTGTTCATCAAGCCCAGATTCCTCTAAATTGTCTTACATTCTTGGCATTTCAAGAAATACTGTAGGGTTTCCTTAAATCAATAAACCAATCATTAAAATTTTTATCTTTTCTGAGCTCAACTTCCCCTTGCCTTTCCTTGGCAGAATGCAGAATTATAGTTAGTTAAGTGACTATAAAATCAAATTAAACTAATAGTTTATTCAGAGCACGGTTTCACTAGTCAGTGACAGCTCAGTCAAAGAATATGAATGGAATTATAGAACCTGTTCATGTTCTTTGGTTCGATAGACACTTTATTTTCATTTGAATTTGTTATCTAACTTATGAATGCTCTTTTCTTGAAATACTTATGCATTGTTCGCGACCTTTTGCACAGCGAAGCAGTTCTTTCACCTTTACTGGATTAAAAATTCATCACTATCACACACTATTTTAAAAAAATGTTTTTAATTAAAAAGTTTTGTACTTTCAAAATCTCATTAACTCAAAATTTTAGTGTTTACATTTTTCTGAAAGATTTAGCAGATATTTAGTCAATAGCATGTTTCTTTTATCAGCTATGACAAAACGCATGAGGGTTATATGCTTAAAGAAACAGCTTCCTAAGGAAAAAATAAATCTTATTTATGGTACACGAAAGAAAAACCATGAAAATGGTCATGCAACCAGTCCACACACATGAACTGAGATCAAACCACTAGTGTTCAGCGGTCTTAACCACTTGACCACTGATGAGCCTTAAGTACACAGATTTAGTCTTCTACTAATTATAAAATTTAATTTAAAATAGTATTTCGAACTATTTGCAGTAATACATAAAACTGCGCTTTTAATGAATTTTTAACATTAATATATAAATTTAATTACACAATACCTTTACTGAACTTGAAATCTCTAGGCCAGTTGTAAGCACAAGTAAAATCGTCTTTGCATGCTTCAAACCATGAAATGCAATCACTTGCACAAAGAGGAACCTTATAAAATCTCTCAGTAGCTATCTTTCTCTTTGTCTAAAAGAAAATAAATAAATAAATAAAAGTACCAGCATTTAATTTTTTTTTTTAATCAGGAAAGAAAATTTTTTTAACACAGTACATTTAGACTGCAAGAAATCTGGGCCCATATTTATGTCAAAAAAGGAAAAAACATAATCTGGCATATTTCAGATTCTGAATACAATTATTATTCAGCTGTAACATCAATCAGTTTTGCTTTAAATTTTATATTTTAAATTAATATTTTGACTAAAGAAATATGTTTAAGATGCCTATTTTGAATTAAAGTCTTTTGCAACCAGCACCCAATTAACTACCAATATCAAAATAATGGCTCATATGAAGGTCTAAATTTAAATCTAAAATTTAAGCTTGTGAGATAAATAGGCTAACAATCTGAAGATTTAAATCTGGAGAATATCTGTGTTATGTTTCTCGCACTTAACATAAGCCTTATCAACTAACAAAGCAAAGAATTACCCAGAATATAAAGATGAACAATTGATCTCTTCTCATGCATGGATGTGAGAATTTTGAAAGAAGTATTCATGATTTTTAGAAATAATTCACATTGAAAGAGGCCACATCTACACTCTCTTGTCTGGAATGATGCAAAGTACTATACTTTAAATCACTGTAAAAGCAAATTGTGGTTTATGATCAAATTCCTAGATAATGAGTTGATGAAGATTATATCAGTTTTAAAACACAACTGGGGACCATGTCTGATATTAGATACTTGTTTGAAGAAGATTAGAAGTGGAGGTGCAAGCTTGGGTGGATGCAGGACATTTATTTTTGTTGCCATCACACTTTATCAAGATGATGATAAATAACTGGGCATTTACTGAGAAATGAAGACTAGGAGAGGGAGAATGAAGATCAAATGAGAATCAAGAAAGTTATGTGGAAGGAAGCTGACATAGGATTTTAGATTTTCATAAGATATGCTGAGCAATGCTCATTTCTGAAAGCATATGATGTTATGAAACACCATTGTATACAAAGTTAATTTTTAAAACTCTAGCAACAAACTTATAAGAATCAGACATCTGAAGTTATATGTCCTACTAAGAAATTCATAAATTTCATATAATAATATATATGGTAATTTATAAGTGGTATTTAATTTCGTTTTTCTGGAATATATAATCATGCATGTGTTTTAAATTATATGTATGATTTCAGTATTGAGATGGCGCTGCCATCGCTACTGTAAGAGGGAAGAATGTTACTTTGCTTCTCAAAGCTTGGGAAAGCTTTGTGCATGTGAACGGCATAGTGCCTTCCACAAATATGAAATGATAAAATTAAATATAAAAAAAATGATAAATTAGTTAATGAGTTAAGTCTATCACTTAGTAATTAGCCAAGCCATTTTCAGTGGTCCAGTATAGCTGGAACAAATCTGTCTAAGTAAATAAGCAAGTAGTACAATGGGAAATTTTGTTTCTGGAGAATTTATGTTTGTAGATTACATCGAGATGGTGAAAAGGATAATTAGCCCTTGAAATTCTATTTATTATTAATTGCTGCACTTAGCAAATTCTGATTTAAATTTGTGTGACAAATTGTTACCACTGATAAGTATAGCGAGAATGGCTATGAAACAGAAAGATGTTCTTGACTATCTATCAAAAAACTATATTATTGAATCAAAAAACTATCTTAGCAAAACTGGAAAAAAAAAAAAAAAAAAAAAAAAAAACTTTCTGAGCCCGATTTAAATGTTTGTGACTTAGAATTGTTTAAAACTTAATTTGACAATCTATAAAATGAATTTGATAGTATTTTTGACTTCATTAATAATTTAAGTACTGAAGAAATTGTCGACAAAAATCTTGACTGAACAAGATGAAAAAAGTTGTAACCTTACTGATATGGAATTTGAGATAAATAATAAATTGTCGAAAATTGTTAAATTGGAAAACACTATAATTTCTGAAAATTCTGCTATGCATTACCTTCGTTTTCAGGTAAAATGCATTCTTGGCTTTCTTTTAAGGATATTTTCAAAGCAAACACTGATCAGGACCCAAATTTATCAGATGTTGTAAAACTGCAATATTTGAAATCAGCAATGAAAGGAGATGCCTTTAGAATAATCCAAACGATAGCTATAGCAGATACTAATTCTAAGTTAGCATGCTCTCTTTGAGGAAAGATACTCAATAAATTTAATGGATGTTACAAGTGAAGTTGTAAGATGATTAGAATGTCTAGAACAAAAGTTAGATGGGTTTCATCCACTATATTTGCCTTTATTCTCAGCCAAAAATTTTATCAGAATACAAAGTTATGGTGGGAAAGAAATTTGAAGAAAGAAAAAATACCAAACATCACAGATTTACTAGAATTTCTAAAGGATCACACGAGGATATTTAACGTTTCTAGAATTCCAGTAACGTCTAAACGAAGTCAACCAAAGGTTTCATGTGTGATTGAAAAACATGTACGTATTTCTAAACCATGTAATGTGGAATATAAATTATTTAAATGTCCTAAATTAAAAGAATTCAGCTTGAAAGATAGAGTCGAATATGTCAAAAAGCACAATTTATATTTGTGCTATTTTTAAAATCATGGAGTGAGAAATTGCCCTTCAAATTATTTTTGTCGGTTATGCAGAAAAAAGCACAATTCATTATTGTGTTATGAGCAAGAAAAAGTTCTGATTCCACCAAAAAAAAAAAAAAAAAAGTGGACACTTGCCTATAATAGGATTGGCCACTCCTAAGGCCAGATGTGTGTTATTTTGGAGGTACCTAATGGGTAGCCACTGTTACCTTCCTATGAAGGGACTGACAATTTTACATCTCAGCCTTCTCTGGGATTCGAACCCAAGCCTTTTGGTATTGTAGTCAGGCTCCCCTAACCACTATGGTGTCTGGATGGCTGATTCCACAAAATAAAAACCAGTCTCCATCGGATCAAAAGTCAGATGCCAGTTAGTCTACAGAAACATCGAAACTCAGCGTTCAGGCGGAGCCATTCATAAATAAGGATAACCAGCCAGAACTTTGCTTGAATGGGAAAGTATGATTAATCTTTGTTCATCGGAATTAGCCGAAAAGCTTCATTTTTGAAAGGAAAATGTAAACATATCAGTTGGATCCCCTTGGCCGAGAATCCCACCACTTGAGAGGTCGCTCAAGGGCGGAAGAGACGATGCAAAAAGATTCTGAAGGCGGTAGAGAGGGCCGTAACCTCAGAAAGAAATGAGAAATGTATATATGAGTTATGCGACTAATGGCTTTGTGGTGGAAATTGATGGTATAAGATTGATATAAAACATATCAGTTAGATGTTTATCTGGGATTTCAACAATGGTGAAATCAAAATGAGGTTATTTTTAAAAGAGAAAAACATACAGTCATAAATTAGATTTTTTTTCATGATTTCAAAAATTTGATGTCTTTTAGAAGAATTGATATCTGTAATATTGCGATTCCAAAAACAAGTTATGTTAGCTAATCCAGACTTTCACAAACCAGATAAAATTCAGTTACTTCTCGGATCAGAAATATTTTAAAATTTATATACCCAATACAAATTTAGTATTGCATAACTCAGTATTTGGGTATCTGGTAAGTGGAAGCACCAAAGCATAAAAAGGTTTTTTGATTTGGAATCAATTTGTATTAGAGATGATCCCAATTCTTATAATGAAGCACTGGGGATGTTTAGCAAAACTATTAGTTTCAAAGATGGCCATTATATTTTTAGTTTGCCCTGGAAGAAAATCTAGGAAAAATTAGGCGATAATTTTGGTGTCACAGGAAAAAGAATAAGCGTGTAAGAAAAATGCAGCATGATAATGCATTCTACTCCAAATACAAACTTCAAATGAGTATCTAGATCAAGAGATAATAAAAAGAATGGTAGATACTACAAAAACAGTAAACAAGCAGACTTTTATTTGCTATATTAGTCACCATATAGAAAAGAAAGCATTAGTACAAAAATGTATTGCAAGCTCATATGAAATATGTAATTTATCCCTGAATGTTTGTGGTCTGGTATTAATCCGGATCCAAATATATTTCACTTGTTCATAATCTTAAGAGATGTTGAAAAGGGATTTCTACAGATCATCTTAACTGAGAAAAACCGAGATGCAGTTAGATTTTTATTTGTTATGAATACTAGTACACCTTTGCAGAATATTGAAGATCAGTTAGAAATGTATAGATTTAAGTGTGTCCTTTTTGATATCAATTCAAGTCTATTTTTGTTAGTGACAACTATAAAGCAATATATCCAAAAGTATAGATGTGTATCCAGATGCCTTTAAAATTCTTAATATGTGTATGTATGTTAATGATCTTGTTACAGGAGGAGATGATGTATTACAAGTCTTAGAAATTTCAAGTGTAGCAAAAGGAAATTATGCACAGAACTGGGATGAATCTATGAAAATGACAAGCAATAAGCATTAAGACACAGGAAGAACATGTTGACATTTATCTGCTAGGTTCAAATGAAAAGATACTCAAAATATTAGGACGTAGTGTTCTGTTCAACAAAATTTCATTTAATTCTGGATAGTTATAATAGATATTAGTAATACAGTATCCTTTCTCCGAAAGCAGCTCAGACAAAGTGAAAACTACCCATTTTGCTAATGAACAGTCTTTATATTCCCGACAAATTCTTATACCTTTTTCAAACAAATATAACCGCTGACCACCACAGCCAGTTTCAGGTCACCAAACATAAACATCTTGATGCTGAATCATGTTCTCTCAAATGGCAAATACTGTGACCCTTATACAATAACAGACTTTCATCAACACAGATATCCTTAAGAAATGTATAAACTTCTGAAAACTTTTCTCACAGATAACTGAATACACTCTAAATTTAAGTTCTGGTTCAATCACTCATTCCTATCAAAGTCAAGGGAGTGCATTATAGAGTTAAACCTTTTACTATTGAAAAGATTTACAAAGCTTAAAGTTTCAATTATTTTCCTATATGGTCAACATTATCTAACTCTTGGCTTGACAATAACTCTTTGCAATAAACACATGTAATTTGTTTGCAGTTATGTCAAACCAATGATGAGCACGTGCAAACTTTTTTCCCCTCAGAAATTTGAGTGGATTTTCTTATGTATAATGGTTTACTTCTGAAACAACGTAATTTTATAAGTTCATTTTCAAAAAAAGTTTAAATTATTCACAAAGATAAAAAAAATATTTTAAATGGTTTCTTTCATTTCAGGTACACCTGTAAAATCAAAATGACTTGGAAGAGCCAAACTACTTAATTTAAACTTAATTTAGCACCACTGTTTCACATTGCTAAAATCTGCTCTTCTCCAGTCGAATAATCTTCCAACTTCCAAAAACAAATATTTATATGTGCATAACTGGAATTTTAGCTCTTCTCAACTGTTGCATACAGCAGCCAAATCCTAAAACTCTTCAGACATGCATATTCCCCTTTTGCAATATATGGCCTACCATCTGTTACAATAACAAACTTATTTTTCTATTGTAACTCATACATTTGTCAAACTGAATATACTTTGGCAGATGTATCCTGCATAATAATCACTCTCATGCTATTTTGCAAATTTTACAGCCTTTTTTTCCCTTCTTGTGAAGATGTATGTCAACAACAATATACATCATAAATTTTGAATCATCACACAGCTCTAAATAAACATGAATAATTCAAGTAAATGTGAATTTTTGCAACCAATTTTGGAGCTTACTTGGATTTACTTTTTGTTCAAGTCATATCTAATACTAAAATTCAGTATTAGTTAACTGTGCTTTGAAAAACAAAAGGTTCATATCCAATGTTTGATATGATCTGACATACGAATTATTTCTCATTACTGTAGCAATAAATATAAAATTTTGTATTTTCTAATCATTTAATATTCATTTTGTTACTAAAATATTAAATGAACAAATTCTTAGTTAACTGAAGCTATTTTAACATTTGTTATACTTATTCATTAAAATTTATACTTTAATCTAGAACTTTTTCCTTCCTTTAGACTGCTTTCAAATCATTATACATAAATAACATGGTTTTCAAATCATTATATATAAATAACATGGTTTTCAAATCATTATATATAAATAACATATTGTGATCTTGTATTTGTCAAATTTATACAATATGAACATCATTAATAAAGAATATGTTTTAAATAGTGTAATAAAGTTTGGAAAAAATCCTCTACTACTTGATCTTAATAATAGGAAAGTAAAATTTGAGCACTTGTAATCAGACTTATGCTATAAATTGAAAAAATTAATATAAATCACACACCTTGACAACCCACAGACCAATATGAGGTTCACATTCATAAAAACAATTATTTTGGTTAAAATGTCTTCGACACTTATCAGACATATTAGAACCAGTCTGAGAAAAGCAGTGATCAAGAGAGAAGTTGTACAAATTTGTTTCATGGACCATGATAGCTACTTCATTTGTACAACAAGCATGATCTTTCCAGGGAAGGCACTAAAACAAAACAGTAATTAAAACATTACTTCCACAAAATAAACATTTTAAGAATGAACAAGTATTTATTAAAAATTTTAATCTAAAATAAATTAGCTCCAATAAAATATTTTAAATTAGAATTATGTATGATTAGTAGTTGAAATACAAGATGCATAATTCCTTCATACGATATACAGATAGCAATAAATACAAAATAAGCAAGTTCATTTTAAAATTAAACAAAATTCAATCCTGAATAGCTATTACTTATTGAGAATTATATAATATTTTGGGAGATTTTGACACAAATCATTTTCCTGCAAAAAATATCGGCTTTCAGCTTGCCGCATAGTTTAGAGTGATTTCGCAATTTATAAATTTCAGCTTGCAGCCATATACCGACATTATACATTTAGAAACATCCATACCTTCTCCGGGATTCAAACCCAGGCCCTTCGGCACGGCAGTCAGTGACGCTAACCACTATACCAGTTGGGAGGCATTTTATAGTATTAAGCAAACTAAAAAAGAAAATCTGTTTCATTACCCTAATAGGAAATTTTACAATGAAAGCACTTGGATACAAGTAAGTATACAAAGTCGAAAAACTGTTTGAAGTCTACAGTACAAACCAGAATCCTAAATTCATCTTTTAACCAGTGGCTTCAACATTTCAAATGCTTGCATACTTAGGATCTTAACAGAGAGAAATCAGAGTTAAATTTCTAAAATTAGAAATGATGGAGCCCTTTGGCAGGGCATGCAAAATGATATAAAAATAAATACTTAATATAACTCATAAAATAGCATGATAATTAATAACTGAAATAATCAGAAAGAAAATTCAATAAAATATAAAGAGATAAATTAAAACTGGAAAAAAAGCAAACTCAAAACTAGGCAAAATAACAAGCATATATTTTGGCATAGGTTTTGAACAAGACTATAGATTTCGAGCGTAATCAAGACACAGGTCCATTTTCTTCAGAAGCAAATAGAATTCTCCAACTAAAACTAAAATAAGGTCACTGTTTTGCCTAATTTCGAGATAAATAAAAATTTAATATGTTATTAAATTAACAATAAGTAATGTTAAATAATAAAATACTAAACCTCATTTTATTTGTAGTTCCAACTGGAATTACAATTTTACTAGCAAACTAAGTAAGAAATAGCACAGCCAGGCTTCAACTGAATTTAAGCCCTGAGTATACAATACAAAGTACTGTTTTAAGGATGACAGAAATGGAGACGATTCTTTTTCCAGCACCAATAAAAAAAGTTAAAACAGTTAAAGCATCACTAATGAGAATACAGAAAATGCAGTAAACGGTAAAAAAATTATATACAAAACTTTGATGGAGGATGTGTAGATATGAAAATAGAGAAGAGTCTAAAACTTTCTGACAAGATGCTTTGCCCATATAATTCTAGCTAGCAAGCAAAATGTGACAGGAAAATTTTTTTTCCAGAATCCGAGGATTAGCTGAAAACAAACATAAGGTTTTGTACCAGTGAGAATTTTCATTCCCTGCATTAAGTTGCATCATTCCATAAAATCAGTCTTTCTGTCAAAACCACTAGCATTAGACATGTATGACCAGGAAGATCACTTCTAGTACTTTGACAAACAAAAAATTTACCTTCTCCCATTCATTACATTTCCTGTAGTAAAAGCGTTTGACATGTGGATGGGGGCTTTTCTTTTCTTAAAAGTATCAACTTCCTTACAAGCTTCATGTCTGAGGGAAAGACAGATGTGTATTCAGAAATTAAAAAAGTACTGTCTACTAAAACTGTGGTTTAATTACATAAAAGAAGTGCCAGAGCCCTCTTATTTAAGGCTCTGGTTACAGTTCCAACTTATCTAAAAAATTCAGAAGTATAATTCCCAAGCTCTGGTACAATTTAAGCATTGTCAGTAATCAAGTAAACAAAATCATAAAAACTTTTGTTAATACATACTTAAAAATTATGGTTAATACTTAAAAATTATGGTTAACAATAATTTACACTGATATTTCCTTATTAAACTGGCTACCACCTTTAGTCACCAAAAGTGGCAACCTCAACCACACAATGTATAAAGTGCAAAATGCAAATGTTATTTGTGGTAACCACTTTCACAAGAAAGCACCTTTATATTTACAGTTCAGATGATCATTTGTATAAAACCTTAATAATAATGCATAGTGCAAGTGCCTATCAAAATTATCTCTATATCATCTGACTTACTTGATGTTAATAAAGTATAATTATATAACACATTAAGAAAATCAGAAAATAAACATAAGTATTATACACAATTAAGATTTATATATGTATATATATATTATAAATGACTGAAAAACTGTTCAATGAAGGAAAAATACAAAAAATTCAAATACCTGTTCATGCAATGTATCTTCTTTACCTGGCTTATGTTTATGATTCACACTGTCCAAGCACCAATTCAACAGATCATCTTTATTATTACTTAACTGACATACTGCACTTTGAATGCATGCAATTAATACTACAATCCACAAATACTGTAAATGAGCCTGAAAAAACAGTTATTTATTAAATCAATATTGACATTTTGAATAAATAATTTAAATTAAATTACCAAAATATTCATATCACAATTTGATGGGTACTCTTTGTTACAGGGACACCCAGCCATATTTAGCAATTTGATTTGTGCCAAGATCTTAGCTATAATTCTGCCAAGCTCATGAAGTGCAAATATAAAAATAAACACAATATATAATAACAATAATACTCACATGTTGTTTCCTAAGAATATTTTTAACACTTTGAGTGTTACTGGTTTAACCCTAAAATTTCAAAGTTCCTCAAAATGTCATAAGTAAATGGTATTTTTGTGATTATAATTAAAAATCAACTCTCTCACTTTGTGTCATGATTCTTTTTCCTACTATGCATCCAATGTAAAAATCAGATACGTTAAAACCTCGCAGAATTTTTCATATGCAATGAATAAGAAAGCCGCTCTTCTATATGGAATTTTACATCCATAATGCTGAGAGAATTAAAAATCCTTGTCCTTATTATTTTATTGCATACAACTGTTCCAGTCAACTGCAACACTTTTACACATATTAAGCTTTTTGTTACACCATTTCATGGATGACAACTTCACTGCCCAAGAATGCATAAATCTAACACCAGCGACGAAAGATATTCTGAAACCGCTAAAACAATTTCTAACATGGAGACCCTTCTTTTTACAATTTTTAACACTGCACTTCCAAATGGTATTGTCATTAACATAAAACTTTATGTTGTGGCCATTTTTGCATACTCGTTTATCAGATAAAAGACCTCTTTCTTGAAAAAATAATATGGCATCTACCTCCCTACTTGGTAAATTAAAGATTGTTAATGTCACAAATACACACAAAAAAAGCATTGAATATATTTTTAAATAAACAATAAAAAATGAATAACATAAGAACACTCAGTTTTATTCTGAGTTATGTCATGCAGAAAATATTCGATATGTAGGGAAACTTATATTTAAAAAAAAAACATTTATTTATTTATAATACCATCAATTTTAGAAACAAATGAGAAAATGCACTTTTTATTTCAGTCCCAAACAACAAAAATATGTTGTATGCAAGATATGATATTGCAAAATAGAAAATAATTCATTTTAAAACTAATATTGAATATAGTAATTCAGAAGTCAAACAACAAAAATCAGCCTTAATTTACAAAATTTTCACAGGACTAGTTTCGATGGTTTTACCGAACCATCATCTTCAGCTGCAAAAAACCGCAAATGAACAAGATAGGAAATAATGTTTAGATAAGATAAGAAAGCCTGGACAAGAATAAGCAAGTGGCGCCATCTGTTGGCGAAACCAGAACTAAAACATAATTTCTCTAAAAGCCGAAGGCCAATTTGGATTGGAATTAGGATCGTTAACTTTGGATTGGATTAGGATAGTTAACGATCCTAATTCCAATCCAAATTTGCCTTCGGCTTTTAGAGAAATTATGTTTTAGTTCTGGTTTCGCCAACAGATGGCGCCACTTGCTTATTCTTGTCCAGGCTTCTTATCTTATCTAAAACATTATTTCCTATCTTGTTCATTTGCGGTTTTGCAGCTGAAGATGATGGTTTGGTAAAACCATCGAAACTAGTCCTGTGAAAATTTTAGCAAATATAACGCTGATTTTTGTTGTTTGACTTCTCAATTAGTATTTATTCGGCGTGTTATTGTGTCTTAATTATAGAAGCCCCAAACAGGCTTACATTTTGCTTTCTTTTCTTTTTTGCACGTGGTGTGGCCGCCATTTTGTGATTGTAGGAGTTTCGGTGAGTACATTTTTGCAATTTTCAAGTTTTGTTTATGTTTTGTACATTTGGATAGTGTGCTTTGCTTGTCTGATTTCATGCATTTTGCTTACAAACATTTTGTTTTCTATTCATTCAGTGAGGGATTTTTTTCTGCTATTTTGTGTGTACTTTATTATTCGCTCAGTGAATTTGTTGATTTCTGCATTGTTTATCATGCCTTCATCCGTTAATCGTTTCACTAAATTACGCCTGAAACGCAAAAATTCCTGAATCATCTTGACTTTTTACTTAAATGTAAATGTAAAAAATTGATCCCCAATTTTATTCAAATCAAATCTAATCAAAAACCTTCGAGTCGCATTTCAAGAATTCTGTTAAATTGCAAACTTGCCTTACTTCGTCCGTGATAAGGGATACACGTCAACAATTGTCCAAAATTTTAACATGAACTCTATAAGCTTCATGTGGAACTCGCTAAATCATATCCAAAACTTCACTGCCCTTGAACAAATGTCTTGGTCTAGAACGGAGAATGCAGTAACCGTCATAAAAACACCCTTGTAGTTAAATTCGAAAAACTTCTTTTACAGTCTTCCAGTCCAAGTAGTTCAAAAATCTTCCCATTGTAAACATCAAGCCAATAGTTAATATTTCTAATGTTAGTCTTTCAGAAGAACAAGAGAGAATTCTAAAATATAATTTTAACTTCTCACAAACCTGTAAACCCTCGATTCCAAAGATTTTGGCTCCTATTGAAAAAGCTTTCAAGTTCAGTAAAGTTTTCAGATTCACAGAAAGAATGATTAGGCATCTTATCGCTCATAATGTGAAATTTCAATAATAAACCTTTGAAACCAAATCTAACTGTGAGAGAAAGAGCTACAATGCGCGAAATTCATTCTAACCCGGATATTATCATTTCAAAGGCCGACAAAGGTGGCCAGATAGTCGTCATGGATAAGAACACTTACATCGATGGTGTCACTAAACTCTTAACGAAGGACCATATAATCCGATCCCTAAAGATCCTCCACCTTCGGACTTATCCAAAATAAAAACTGCGATCAAATCTTCGCAAATCATTTCAAGCAACTTAAAACATTCGTTATCCCATCTGTTGCGAATTGTGCCAGATTATATGCTCTTCCAAAATTCATAAAAGTGGTATTCCTTTCCGCCTATTGTATCAAATTTAGGTACTGCCGCCTCGTATCCATTAGCTAAGTATTTAGTTTCTAGATTTTCCACTCTATTAGACAATAACATTTACACCATAAAAAATTCAATAGAGTTTGTAAAAAAGGTTAAAAACATTTCTCCTCGTAATTTACTCATGGTTTCTTTTGATGTAAAATCATTATTCACCAATGTCCCAGTTGAGGTGCATTAAGATGTCTAGAAACCAGACTTCGCGAATTTCATTTCTCTTGCATCGAAATTGATGAGCTAATTTCTCTCACTCAACTCTGTTTGAAACAAACACATTTTGTTTTCCAAAATAAATATTACAAGCAAACTGAGGGATTAGCCATGGGAAGCCCCCTCAGTCCCATCCTGGCTGATATCTACATGCATTATTATGAATCAAAATTGTTTCAAACTTTAAACTTCCCCCGGCATGGTTCCGCTACGTAGACGATACTTTTACCCTGTTTGAAGGTAATAAAGATGATTTAAATAAGTTCTTTCAACAATGAATTCTATTGATCCTGCTATTCAGTTCACTTTTGAACTTGAGACTTGCAATTCTCTTCCGTTTCTCGTTTCTCGACATTCTGGTCACACGTAACACATCCAACTTCAGTACTACAGTTTACCGTAAACCTTCATCGGTTTGCCTTCCACCACACTTTAAATCATGTCATCCGACTAAACAAAAGTTAGCTTCATTTTATCCTGTTTTCCGTGCTCTTCAAGTTTTGCTCCTCCAAACTAGCCCTTGATGAAGAACTAAATTATTTAAAAGCAATAGCTATTGACAGGGGCTTTTCACCCAACATTATTAATCAAGCAATTAAAAATTCTCATCTCAACACACTAAAAGCCAACACTCTTGTTTTAGGAGATTATAAAAATTCTGTTGTCATTCCCTTCTTTCCATCAATTAGCTATAAAGTTGCACATATTTTGCAGAAATTTAACTTTCGGGTTGTTTATTCTCCCATCAATAAAATTCCGAGTTCTATACTCAAGGACCCCATTCCGGATATGAATTCCTGGGGTATTTATAGGATTCCTTGCCAGTGTGGTTTAATTTACATTGGCCAAACTAAGAGAGCCTTAAAATTTCGCGTCAAAGAACATGAGGCATATGTTAGAAAAAAGGAAACACAGAAGTCTTCTGTTGCTCAACATTGTTGGTCCGAAAATCACACTTTCAATTTTTTCTGCTGCCAAAATTATTCAAAAACATCTTCCATTGGAGAACTGGATTTTCTAGAGGCATTTCACATTCATAAAAATCTTTCTGTTCTAGTTAACGATCCTAATTCCAATCCAAATTTGCCTTCGGCCTTTAGAAGAAATTATGTTTTAGTTCTGGTTTCACCAACAGATGGCGCCACTTGCTTATTCTTGTCCAGGCTTTCTTATCTTATCTAAACATTATTTCCTATCTTGTTCATTTGCGGTTTGCAGCTGAAGATGATGGTTCGGTAAAACCATCGAACTAGTCCTGTGAAAATTTTGTAAATATAACGCTGATTTTTGTTGTTTGACTTCTGAATTAGTATTTATTCGGCGTGTTATTGTGTCTTAATTGAATATAGTAATTAGAATTTAAAAAAAATTTATAAATACAATTTTGTTTGCAGAAAAGAAAGGATGGCTATTTCTCTTCATAATATTACATATACGATGCCAATCGAAATTAAAGGATAATCCACAAAAAAGTGCTCATTAAACCATCAACTGGTGTAATTATTTACAACTGAATGGAAAATTGGACTTCTGCATATAAAATAATGCATCAAATGTTCATATTAGGCTGTGACAATAGATGCATTTGAGAATTCAGGTGTCTAGTGTTATTTAAAAGTTAATATGGTCTTTGAGAATGATCCAATTTAAATAAATATTTGGCTTTCTTCAGCAAAGAACCTGTTGGTGACAGTGTCTTTTTCTACAAAGCTTGCCAACAGTAATGGTTTTAGCGATATATGGTTAAGTTCTGAAATAAAACTTAATATAAAATTCTCAAAGACTCAACACAGAGTTCTCAATCTCTCAAAGGCTGAAATAAATTTTATTTTTGTAAATATACATCATCATCTGGATGCTTCTTAAAGAAGGACATGTTTCATTGTAAGCCCAAAAATTCCTTATTTACATTCATTTAAACTAATTTAATAGTTTTTTTTTTTAAATTACATCTTTTATATTTTATTGCTTCAATCAGTGAAAAAATTAAAAAGGAATAAATCATTTAACATCTAGTTTAATCATAAATGGTAAATGACTGGAATTCTGAAAAAGCAGTCAAACGGGATCCAGTTAACTTTACTTGGTAAAAGTATAGTTTAGGGTACCCCTTGGCGATTTTTGGCGGTACATGGATATCGATTTTGTGCAATTCTTTGACTTGTTATTTTGGCTTGCGAAGCAGCAATTTTTTGCTCCAAAAATTGCCGCTACACAAAGCCAAAATAACAAGACAAACAATTGCACAAACTCAGTATCCATGTACACATCGACTTATTTTCACTTATAAAAAAATCCCCAAATTGCATAAAAATGGCATTGCGCAATCCTTTGACTTTATTCATGTACACGTCGACCTATTTTCACTTTAAAAAAAAAAATCTCCGAATTGCACAAAAATGGCATTGCACACTCTTTTGATTTTATCCATGTACACGTCGACCTATTTTCACTTAAAAAAATCCCATAATTTTACAAACTTCCATTGCGCACTCCCTTTACTTTGTCCATGTACAGATCGATATCTTTTCACTTAAAAAGTCAAAGGAGCACCAAATTCTACAATATAGGCAAACAAAAAATACATAATATCAGTAAAATGCATTTTAAACCAAACAACAAAATAACATAAAAAAGGAAAAACATGTTATACATTTAAGCACTACCAAAAGCAAATATTCACTTACCATGATTTTCGAGTTTGCTTTGTACACCCAGAGCGACGTAAAAATCAAAATATCAGTCATACTCAAATGACTTTTTTCAACGCAGGTACTCATTCTGATCGAGCTCATTCTGACCATCTGAACCTTTTCTTCCACAACCATTCAAATCCCATCTAACTGTTTTATGTTCGACTAGAGCATATCCTCCTAATACAGGCACTTACAATGCTACTAAGTAAACTTTATTTACACACCAGTCAATTAAAGCTCTTTTTCCCTTTTGCTCCAAATTGTACAAAACTTCAAATTAATCTTACTACATTCGGCCATTCTACGTCTAAAGAATCAAACCAACACACCACAAAAACGCTTACAAACATCCCATGATTCAAAATTCCCCAGCACCCGATACGTCACAATAGGGTTCCAATAACATTCAAACTCAGGCTACCATAAATGAAACAAAACTTCGCCATAAACAAGGGTCCTTAAAGTCCTACTCTACCCTTTACTCACACTACAGGTTAGTTTACAATCTATAAAGATCAGACTGGTTTGTCCGTTAACTACAGAATCAATTTTACAATACTCACATAAACTTTTTAAGTAGTTTAATTAGGAAACGAAAAAAATAAATAAGAATAAAACAATCTAATTAGTTTGCAACAAAATCATTAAAATATTCAGTTGAATATCCATTTTATTTCTTTGTCAACAAAAAATAATTAACCATTGGGAAATGCTTCAACTACAGAAAGCCAAATTTTATTCATTCTTAAAACATGGACCATGACTTTTTATAATTATTGTCATTAACGGGAGTATTGTTCCCCTTGAAAAGTTAACTAATTTCCTATCAATAGCGATAATTACTTGTTTTAAAGTCTTTTTCAAAGTTTGAAATTTTGTTATTTATGATTTAAATTCAAGTCCCCGTAAAACGTTTTTTTCATAATTTACATTCAAATTACTTTAAAACACAATTTTCGGAATTAAACTTCCTAAATATGGGTTTCCTCTTTTTTGATACTTCTACTAAATACTATATTAGGAGATAATATACCCAATATTTCTTTTGCTTTTATCTTAATTTACAATAAATCTTAATGTACATAACTATTTAATATAAATCCTAAATACCTAAAAGCATTTAATACAACTTTTTTGGAACCTCAAAATAAAGAACTTTAAAGTAATACCCACAAAATACTGCTTTTCATAATTTTTCTTTAAAGTGGGAACTAGTATTTATTAAATATATTTACAATGAATTTCACATTCAGAAGCAGTTTTATTGATATGTATATGAAACATTCGTAAGAGAGTAACTTTTTGTAAACAGATGTATAATGTATATCTCGTTACTATTCTTGTTTTAGCTAAAAAGAATTGAGCTGAGGGCATTAATTAAAGTATTGAAACAAGAAATCACATAATATTTCCATAAGAAACTTAAGATTTTTTCTTGGAAAATAGTCTTCCTCTCTGCCCAGCTCTTTAAATCTTTCCCACATTTGCATACTTATAAGTTTCAAAAACATATCTCTTTAAAAGTAAAGTCTACAAATTCAACCCCTTAGAATAACTGCCAAAGCTCCTTGGTTTATATCGGAAAAATCACATTACACAATGATATAAAAAACAAAACAATCAGATAATATAATTCCAGAACTGCTCAAACTTTTGTTATAATATTGAACATAATCAAAGGGTTATAATTTCGATTCAAAATCATTAATCATTTTCCATTTTGCACACACACAAACATTTAAATGCTCTTTACAGCAAATGCACTGATATTTATAGTTGAGTCTGGTTAAAATACCACATGTATTTATATAATTAGTGAAGATAAAATACACTATTTCAATTTAATGTGGTTTGAATATCAAATATCAAGATAACCACATACTGATAATTTTGATGAAATCGCCATTTACTTTAACATATATTTTTCATACTCATAAGCTGAAAATCCTGTTGGTTAGCTCAATACAAAAATTAATTCATTAAACATCATGATTATGAAAAATTGTTCAACTGAAAAGAATTCATTCAATGCCATACTCATTACACACAAGCAGTACCTCAGTTACAAAAAAAAACAAGTTTTCTTATTACAACCTTGTTGACCTATAAAGAAGTAAAGCTTACCATGATGAAACTTATCGGCACTTGATCACGAATATGATATAATACAATGCACTAGAAACGAAGAATTGAAGACAACACCCCTGTTGTCAACTAAAACTGTCATAAATAACGTTTCATGAAATATGCGATGATGTGCATCATACCGTCACCTTTTGTCGAGCAGGATTAACCCGCGAAATTCAAGAGCATGCGCAATAAGACTTCCTGTCGATTGGCTGAATATAGATAGGTTCATGTTTAACTCCTCCTCTGTTTTCGTTTGATGCCAAAAAATACTAAATACTTTTGGTTACCCCCAGAACTTGCGCCGGAGCCCTCCGCCGGATTTCTAATTTTAGAAATTAAGCCCTGGTCACCCCTAAATGAAGGCCCATGTCCGACCTCCCGCTATCCCCAGTCCAGACTTTTCTATGTCATGTGCCCTTGCGATACTTCTCGACGAGCCGGACACGACACGTTATAACAGAGCCCGGCTCCGATACTTCTTAGTTTTAGGGATAAATCATATTTCTAGTCGGAGCACAATGCAGCCCTAAATAAGAAGGCTCCTGCATTTCTGTAATGAAAATGAATCGCAATTTCAGTAGAAATCTGATCTCGAAAATTTTATTTTAATAATAAAATTATATGAAAAATCGATTCCAGCTTCTGAATGCACACTTGTTTTTCTGGTGAAACAAAACCTTTGGATGGACGTTGAGACTTTTAAGGAAAGAAAAGCACCCACCCAGATGTCAAAGGCTTACTCTGCAGAAAGTACAATGAATTTATGACTGCGGGCAAATTTTTCGTTCTAACACTAGTGTGTTCCCGCGGAAAAGAGAACCTGGAAACTTTTTTAGAACAAAGTAACAGGCTCAGGACGGGGGATAAAAAATTTCACTTGTTACTATTTCTTCAGTTAACTCTCGGATTCGATGAAAATTTGCTTCCCTGTCATATTCTGCTTGGCAACTAGATTTATACTGAGAGGAGATCGTGGTCAAAAAATGCTCCACTCTTCTCTTTTTATTTTCATACCTATAGGTCATCCGTTAAAATTTTCTGTATGTTCTCTTACTGCTTATAGCATTTTCTGTATTTTCATTAATGACGCTTTAACCATTTAACCATTTTTCATTGATGTGCTGAAAAAAGAATGGTCTTTATCTATCATCTCTTGAAGTAGTACACTGTATTCAGAGTTTAAATTAAACCGGAGACTGGTTGAGCAATTTTTTACTTTTTGGGTGAAATTTTAATTCCAGACGAAGCCCCAAATATGTTAAAAATCCAGTATTTTATTTTATTATTTAATTATTCACCATTTATTTAATAATTTATTGTATTTTTATTTATCTCTTTACAGTTTATTAAATTTTAACATTAATTGTTTAATTTTCTTAATCATTCATTTTCTAAAATTAATAATGAATTATTTAACTGTTTAATTATTAATTATTTTATTAGTAATTTTATTCATTTATTTACTTTTGTTCTTCTTTTCTGACAGTCTTCCATAGGGCTCCGGCACTTCTAATTTTAGAAATTAATCCCTGGTTACCCCTAAATGTAGACCCATGTCCGACCTCCCGCTATCTAGTCCAGATTTTCCTATGTCACGTGCCCTTGCGGCATACTTGTCAACGAGTCGGACACGCCGCGTTATAACAGCGACATCCTGCATAAATGGTATGGATTGATTGATTGATAAATTCAGACCATGGGGATAGGAAGTAAGAGGAGAGGCCCTAAGTGGTTTTCCCCATTCACCGCTTTGAAGCAGTGGCGATCCCCTCGTAGAGGCCAAAACATTTAGTGACTTACCTTTAAGATCAATGGTTTTTGACATGATCGGATGTGAACATTTTGTAATTACGTAGTAAATATAAGAATAAATGTATATATTTTCTTTTTCTATGATATTTCAGGGTCTTAAGTATGTCCATTTTTAAACAACACTTCATTCTGAGCGGAGTTAAATGCTATACTTTTCCTAGAACAGTTTGCTCAGAACAGTTTAATTTGAATGAAATATTTTTACAAGTCTTCTTTAATTACATTAGAAAAAGTTTTTGAGGTAATTCGATATTATTCGTTTAAGGATTACAAAAACTGAGATCAAAGTTTATAACGTATTTCTCCCCGCCTTCGTGGTGCAAGCCTTCGTGGTGTAATGGTCAGCACTCTCCGCACATATTCGAGAGGTCCGAGGTTCGAGTTCCGATGAGGGCATTGCTCATTTTTCTGTCTTCAGCTTCGAAATAACCTAATGTTTCTACAGTGGCGCCTAAAAACTAAAGAAAGGCGCTGGATGATGATTCTCCACCACCAGAATTTGGCGACTGGGTCTCCTAATGCCCAGTCGCCCTTTAAAAAAAGGGGAGTATATAAGGTATTTCTCCCGCCTTCTTAGCATGCCTTCGTGGTGTAATGGTCACCACGCTCGGAGCGTATTTGATAGGTTCGAGTCTCCACGAAGGCAGTGCTCATTTTTCACGTCTTCAGCTTCTAAATAACCTAATGTCTTATATTATTATTTAATATATTAATATTAAAATGCGCATTATTTCTTTTCTATTTAGAGAGCTTCTTTCTAAAATACTTTCTCAAATATGAAATGATTTTTTAGCTTCTGAGGCATCTTTTAAATCGAAAATATGAGTTCAATTTATAATTAATTTTCTGTTCGGTTCATTTCAAATTAGAGCATCTTTTATTTTAACAGTGAAATAGATATTAAATATTAATGCTAATTTCCGTGTACTTAAATTTCTGTAAATATTTCTGAAGGGGAATATAAAAAGGATTCTTTGTTAATATTATTTAAAACTTGTAACTGAGTTATTACAAAATGTAAGGGCATAATTATTTCAATACTTATCAGAATTTTTTTTTTTTTTTACCCTTAATTTCAGCAATACATATTCTAAAAACTCATTTTTACTACTTAAGTACGTATCTCATAGAACTTGTTTTCCAGTACGAACAATTCTTGCTTAAATATTTTTATAGACATATTTGTCAACAGAATTTCAATTTATATTTACAATTAAATGTTAAGGTTATTATATATTAGATAATTAAATCATTATAAATTTAGATATATTTAATAATTAGATTTCTTCGCAGTAACTTTCACAGGAGTTTATGAATGAATAAATCCTTCAATTCAAATACATTTATAAGTAATTCAACAACGTAACAAGTATTTACGTATCTGCCTGCAACAAAATACGTAAAGTACTTACGTATTTTTTTTGCAGGCAGATACATGCTTTTTGCAAGTATAATGCATAAATACCCATATATATTTAATATTTATCATTTTCGGCGTGTGAAAATCTTTTATTTCTGTGCATTTATTATCTTTTTCTAGTAAAGTAATTTACAATAATTTAGCATATACCAAAATTTGTAACATGATAAATATATATAAATATGATTTGAATGAAAATTACATGCATTATTTTTAATACCCACTCAAAGTCAGGTTTCCTTCGAAGTTCCTTCACGATGACATCTCTCCCTTTAGGCAGACAGCCCTTGCATGCCTTACCTTATTTAATAAAATCTTAACCTTACCTATGTGTCTAATAACAAGTACTTACCCATGCATAATTTTATATTTGCATTTAGCCATGAAGTTTCAAACTTTTGACTTAAAACACGTTTTAGGATATATTCATTATCAAACTGAAATTTTCTACTAAATACATTTTGGCAAAGCATTCAATACGTCTTTTAGCGATTTTACACAGTTTAATAGTTCTCTGATAATATAAAAAATAAGCCGCCCTAACGGCATAGTGGTTAGGGGATCCTGACTGCGATACCGAAGGGCCCGGTTTCGAATTCCGGAGAAGGGACGGATGCATAAATTGTCTGTACCTTCATAGAAGCTAGCGGTGGCAGCCTATTTAGGTGCCTCCACAATAAAATGGCCATCACTTCTGGCCTGGCCTTAGTAGTTGCCGTTATAGCCAAGTACCCTTCCATTGGAAATATATATATATATATATATATATATATAATAAATTATTTAAATATTAATTATAAAAAAAATAATAGCTCACATTTAACCATTAACCTCACTGTCATCAGAACGCAATCTTCATTGTCTTACTATGCCAATATTACTTCCTTTTTTAAAACAGTTAAAACAACTAATTGATCTAAATTCACAAATAGCTGAAGTTTTTATACTGCGAGGTAATCCACAAGTTAACAGTATGCAAAGTATATTAATATACCGATCAATAACATTGATGATGCTTTTTTCGTGTCTTGAAACTCTTTCAAAAATAGCAGACCGCAATATTGAATAACAAAGATTTTTCATTTATAATTTTGTATTGCATTTAGTCATCAATTAAACATGTTGCTAAATAAAATTTTAAAAAAGAGACAGAACTTTTTTTAAAAATTTTTTAGCTAACCCAAAATGTAAATCCAAAGTGATTATTTTTCAGCTTTATAAAAATAAAATGATAGTATATGAATGACAAAACATATATTTTATTTAAAACATTTGGTAACATTTAAACATTTTGGTAATAAAAGGAACGAATACTCTATCAAGAGTGTACAGTTTTAAAGGTACTGCAAAATCGCTGTTGGAAGTTATCGAAAAATTACCAAGATGTGATTTTTGCGATAAATGTCATTAAACTATGCAAATTTCTATTATCCATCCAACAATGTTTTTTTTTTTTTTTTTTTTTTTTTTTTTTTTTTTAATGCGGTAGTGTCCGGCCTTTCGATTTTTTTTTTTTTTTTTTTTAATTAAAAGAAACACAACAAGTTCCCCATGTACCACATAGTATCACATGGGGCTTACAGAAGTAAGTAAGAAACACAATACAAACTAAACAGAAGAGAAATTGAAATA